ATATATATATATATATATATATATATATATATATATATATATATATAAACCCTGTCTAAATAAATAAATAAATCTAATAAATGTTTAACAAAATCTTACCTTAAAGGCAACATGCAGAGCAAGTAATAAAAGTTCTAAAGATATACCCTGACTAAATCATCAAAAGAGGAAAGATGAAAAACATCTTCCTGACTGTGAATACTCATGTTAAAACTTCCTGGACCAGAACATTTTAGGGCAGACCACCGCTACTGTGAACTTGACGTGTGATTAAGCCAACAAAGTATTGCTTGAGAAAAGCTTGAATGTGGCTGTGGAGAACGTTCTCAGCCCATCTCTGTAAGACCCGAGGTTCATTCTTCATGGCTCCAACTCTCCTAAAAGGACCCTCGTTGGGTATACCTTCAGCCTGACTGTGCCACAGCTGGGTAACTGTGGTGACATTGTAGCAATCTGACTAAAAACGTGAACTTCAGCTCAGCCCCCACACAGCTTTGTAACTCTGCAGTTTCTTCCACTCCTCTGCAGTGTGAGAGGTCAGATTCTATTCAGCCAGTGAAGAATACATAGACACTAGCGAGTGAGTAAAGAGATGGCTACGCAAGCCAGAGGACCTGAGTCCGTTCCCAGAGCCCATATAGTGGTGTGTGTCTGTAGACCCAGAGCTCCTGTAGCAAGAGAGGAAGCAGAGACAAGAAATCCAGGAAGCTTGGGGACCAGCTAGCCTGGCCTAGCTACAAGAAAACAAAAGACCCTGTCTCAAAGAAAATGAAAGGTGGGAACCAATTGGGAGGGGTATATATCAGCACACCCCACATCCTCTTCTGCCTCTACACATGTACCCACACCCACACATGTATACATATACACATGCACATACCAGGAAAGAAGAAGGAAAACAAATCCCAGCTTCCTGCAGAGCCAATCGCACTGTTTACGTAAAATGCGTAAGCCACTGGGTATATGCTCTTGCACTGACCTACTCCATCGTAGATGCCTCACCCCTACCCCAAGCGCTAGTGATGGCACCTCCAAGCTTCCAGGAATTCTTGTCTCCACTTCCTGTCATGCCGTAGGTGTGCTGGGATTACAAGTGCTTGCTACCGTGTGGGGTCTGGGGAACTGAACTCAGGTCTTCTGGCTAATGTGGCAATCACTGTACCCACGGAGGCTGCTCAGTGAGCACTAGTGTTCAGCCCCACATCCATCCCTGTTGGCTGCACATTTGCCTCGAAGGACGTGGAGCTCTCTGTTAGCCATTCCAGTATTTCCTGTTGACCAAGCCCCCTTGGTCACTTCTCTCATCTTTCTGGTTATCATTAGGTATTTGTAAACACTAAACTTCTGGTCCTTCACAATGGCAGCTGGTTCTTAGGATGAGCACCTTCATCCTTTAGAGCCCATGTTCTTGCTTGGAGCCGTGATCTGTAGAGAAAGGAAGCAGCCACTGAGTTTCGTGATGATGCCAGTGTCCTCTTTGGCAGAGTGTTCTCAATGGTTTGGGTGAATAGTGTAATGTTTGGGTCTTCCTTGGAACACAGACGTCTGGTCCTGCCTGATATTGCCATGTTAGCATGTTCCCTTTCCTAATCTCATTTCTTCATTTATTTACCCCTTTATTTAGGTCTTTCCATCATGTTTTCCATACTTCTAAGAACACCCATAGTAAGACTGCCTCATCCCTAGAGTCCTTGTGTCTTGAAGAATTGCCCCTACACCTATGCTCTAAAGGTAGATACACTTCTCTTGGGCTAGGTCAGGCGACTTACCACTTCCATAGCTGGCCAAAGTTCTCCCCTTGATCTGACTACTGGGCAAACTCGGCATCAAACTTTAATCAAACATCTATCGCATATGTGAGAACGAATGGCTTGCACTGTATGTAAAGCGCTTCATCTCATTAAACTTAGTCTCACTTCATTTCCTGACTTGCATTTACCCAACACACTGTCTACTCAGCACCGTAATAAATATTGTACACTCCTTATCCCATGAAATTCTGCTTTCTCTATGGTGGGGTCTTGAGCAAGATACCAAATTTCTCTTGTAAGTGGAGATAATGATATGTCTACAGGGTTATCATGAGGATTGATAATAGTTTACATCAATAGTTATTTAAAGTCCACTTGGCCTTTTAGCCCTAAACAATAAATCAAACTATCTGATTTAGTTATTTTACATGACACTAATGTACTAAACTCTAGAAAGAGAAACATCAGTTTATTCTAAATACACTCAACATAGTATTACTAATCATACTTATTATGGCTTTAATCAAATTGAAAGCTTTTGCGGTTCCTGTAATTAACAGCAGTGTAACAGAATGAATCAAGCTGGCATAGAATGAATCTCCGTACAAAAAGTTCATTTATTTGACTTTACAGATAAACGATGGCTCTTTCTAAGGCCAGGAAGCCCAAGAATGCTTGACTTTAACATCTATAGCTTTACAGGAATGTCAGGATTACTCTGCACTGACTATTAACAGGAGGGTTATTCTGCCCTTGGGACTTAGCAAATTGCATTAATAATTCAAACACTGTGCTATTCTGATGACTAAGTTTTGGAGCCCTCAATGCTGGTGAGCTTGCCAGTAGGCAGAAACTTAGGGTAATCCCTTGAGTCTTTCTCCTCTAGTTGGATTACATTTTGTGATGCCTCTCAGGATCAAAAGGACATGTCTTTACTTTTGAATTTACTTTTGAATTGGACAGCATCTATGTATATTTCTTGGCCTAGAATCAGATGGGAATAGTTAAAGTGGAAAGCCTAAGTCACGTGCCCATAAACAACAGAAAATAGAACAGAGGGATGAGAATTAGTTGTGACTCCTTTAAGTGCCCTAGAATTTTGCTATTCGAATAGGAAAGTGACATATAGAAATCACACATGATCTATAGGAAAGTGATATATAGCAATCTTTTTTTTAAGGCTTATTTATTATTTATAGAACATTCTGCCTGCACACCAGATCTTACTGTAGATGGCTATGAGCCACCATGTGGTTGCTGGGAATTGAACTCAGGACCTTTGGAAGAACAGCGAGTGTTCTTAACCTCCGAGCCATCTCTCCAGCCCCCGATATATGGCGATCTTACATGCTCTAAAATATGAGGTGCTAGACAATTCAACTCATGCCAGGCAGTGAATCTTGTGTGTGTGTGTGTGTGTGTGTGTGTGTGTGTGTGCGCGCGCGCTAATGTGCATGGACTTTACTCATTTCTGAGATGACGGTACAGGACACGTGACCACATCAACCACACAGCTGCATGTGCAGGGGGTAATGTGGGTTCCCAGCAAGGTGGTCACTCTTCCTG